CCTGAAACATGGAAACTCATAGGTATACTTTTGGGCATGTCCTGAAAGAGCACAGGCCTAGGGTGATAAGCTGAAGGAATTTTTCAAATCTCTGTAAGGGATTAGGTTATCTGTAAACCGGAGAAATCGGGATGACATTTACAGGACTCGGGAATCAATGCATAGTAGAAGAGATCATGAGATGATCTGCCTTTAGAGTCAGTAAATTGAAGATTCCCTATTTCGAATTAAAGCTTACCCTAAACTGCAAGGTTGATACATTTCCTCACCCTAGGTTTAAAGGGAAGGTAACCGAGACGAAAGAAAATACATACGGCAACCAAATATGAGTAATAGGATGATCAAGTCATTAATCTAACTAGTTCTGGGGCAACAAAACATTGCTAGCGCTCTGTGTTGTCATTAAATGGGTTGTGGGCTTGTTGGGCCCGAGCCCATTTATGTTAGTGGTTATGTTGGACCTAATGGGTCACACACTAACACCTTATTGCCATGATGATCTAGCATTAAAGGTATTGAGCCTAATAATGGTTGTTAGCCCAAGAAGAAGTTTGGAAGCCCACCTAAAAGGGAAAAGGGCGCATGGATCATGTAGTGGACTTGGATGGTCCAAGACCTTATTAATTAATTTAATTAGTTAAATTAATTATCAAATATTTAAATTTTGAATTTTGAATTTGAATTTTGAAATTTAAAATTTGAATTTAAATTTTGAATTTGAATTTTGAATTTAAATGTTTGAATTTGAATTGGCTATGAAAAGTTATTTCATAACACAAGGATAAGATAAGATATTGTTGGAACAAATCTCTTATATCAAGAGGAGATCTTTGGAGATCACCAAGAGCTGTTTGGGGCGCTGATTTGGTGTGATTATAAGTGTTATCTAGTCAACCAAATAAGCTCCAATCAGATTCGGTTGGTTGAGAGAATCAGTGAGTGAGTTGGTTCCAATTTGAATGCAACTCCTAAACGTATCTGGACCCTTTTTGGGGTTGAATGGGGCGCATAGATGGCTTGCCATATGATGGCCATTAGGTCAGAATTTTGACTAGATAAAGATCTCATGAGGATTGTATGGTAGGTTGTTGGGAATTTTCAATTGCAACAACTCCACCATATCTCTCCTTTTATGTGCGCCATTTGTGATCAGAATTTGGGGAGAAAATCTGATTGCATCCTTGCTTCCTCTCATCCTTTTGGTGCGCCACTTTTGTTAGGTTTTTCTTAAGTGTTTTTGGAATTAACCTAGCCTTTTCTAAGAGCATCCATGCCCCACTTTTGTGAAGTTTTCATGCTGAAGACTTCACTCTTCTAAACACCTTTACCTAGCCTCTTCCTTCACACATTGGACGCCTAGCAAGCTTTTGTGGTGATCAATTGGTGGCTTTTCAAGAAGAGTTCTTGCATCTTGACGTGGGGTGGTGTGGATCAACGTTAGAGGGTTTGAACCCTTTAAACCTGACACTGATCTCCTTGGTGTTTGAATCACAAACAAAGGTAACATCATGCTGTCTTAAAGCATGAATCTTGATTGCATGTGTTATTCCGCTTGAAAATTTTTATTTTTCCCTCTCACATCCTTCAACCTTCAAGGTCATTTTTCTTTCAGACTCAAATATTTCTAGCTAGCTCTAGAATTTAAAGACTTTTATGAGTTTCAATAAATATATAAGACATGTTTCTTTCAGTTAAACTTTAGTTTTTGGTTTTATTTTAATATAATAGAGTTAGCCTTGCACTTGTCCCTGTACAGGTGCGGCGGTAACATTTTTCCAAATTAGGTTTAGATTAGTTACCATAATATTCCTATGATCGTGAATAAATAAAACGTGAATTTTGGCAATTTCTTTATTAGAAGAATGTTTTATAAATTATTAGAAATTTGGGGGTGTTACACTATTGACGAATTCGGCACTAAATCGTGTTTACTATTTTTAAAACTGCTATTGAAACTCTTTACCAAAAATTCTAAGATTTTACTTTGTCAAACTAGACATCTCAAGCTTTTCAATGAGATATTATATGTTTCAATTGGAGTTGTATAACTCCGTTTATGTCTTTCATAAACTGAATGCTGCAAGCTAAATTTTCAAGAAGAAGACAGCGACTTCAAACACAAATTCCGATCAATATGTTTATCCAATGGTTATGATATTTTACAGGGTTATATCCATATGTGTTATCTTCACATAGGTCTAAATCTCACTTAATCTGGAGTTCTGTAGCTCGAGTTTTGGTGATTTTACTAAACTAGGCCGCTGTTGTCTTAAGGAGTAATCGATTATTGAATTTTTCAGAAAGTATTCGAATACTTCTTCGACAGAATGCATAAATCAATGTTTTTAAGGCATATTTGACTTCGAATGATATTCCAAACTTGTTTACTCATTTAATCAGTATACCAACACGTTCTAAACACATGAATAACTTCAAGACTCAACCTTTAACTTAAATCACACCATCTATCATGAAAAAAAAAGGAAAAGTTAAGTTTTTTCATCTCTGAAGCCTCATCCAAGCAAAAAAGATGATTCAAGCTTCAAACAATGGAAAAACCCAAACTTCAAGCACACAAACAGAAACGAAAATACTTCAAGATGATCTCTTTCTCTCAAAAACCCTAGGTTCAAGGTTGTTTCCATGGGGAAGTGAGGAAAAATGAAGGTTTGATGAGTATTCAAGTTAGTTTCTTGAGAAAGAAAGGGAACCCTAGAGAGAGGAAGAATTTTCTGCCATGAGAGGGCTTTAGGCTATTGTCTTAGGGTTTCATGAGTGCAAGAAAACACAATAAGGAGGAGAGCATATGGGTTTAGGTCTTTTAAGTGAGTCTACTAAACCCTATGGTTAATTACACACTTAACCCTCACTTAATTCTCTATCAATCTCACATGAGCATTTTCTCTTGTCATTTTATTTTCTTAAAATTCATAGAACAATAATCACTATTTATTTTCAAGATTCCGGGTAATACTTTTGCCTTCTGTAATTTTTTGACTGCGAAGCATGCAATGTCCATACTTTTCATAGAAAAGTGATTTAATTTAAATAATTATAATTTCCTTCTAATTATCCCTTTATAATTATTAAATAATTTGCTAAAATCACAATTTATCTTTAAGTTTTCAGGTATTTTTCCTATTCACGGTTTTATCCCAAAATGACATTGTTCACAATTTTCTCAAAATGATGATTTAATTTCAAACAACTAAACCTCTCATCTAATAATCCTCATTTAATTTCTAAAATCCCAATTTAATGATTCGGGTTCTTATATGAAAAGTTAAAAAAAAAACTTCAAAGGACAAATTGAGAAAGGTTTATTGTTAGTGCTGGTAGTAAGTACTAATCTGTACATTTCGGTCATGTAGTTTACAGAAGAAATTCTCTAAATATGCATATGCTCCTGAGGTTAATGAACAAAAGATTGGAGTATTACAAAGCAAAAATACGTAACTGTAGAAAAACATTGTGAAATGCTGAAAGCATTACCAAAATATAAGATTGGCCTTGGCCATATAATTTTTTGGTACAAACATAGGGCAAAGCCTAATGGGATGGGCCCTTTGATTTACTCAATAGTAGAGGTGGGTAACAAGGCAATCTAAACTGCTTACAAAAGTGTCTACCATGGCTCACATTAGCCCACTACTTAACAAGCTGACACACCAATTTATTTATCTTTTATCTCTCTCTCTCTCTCTATCTAGGACTTTTCAAATTTTTCTTTTAAGTTTTGGACCATATTTACTTATTTAGGCATTTAGATCATTAAAGCCATTTGGACTTTAATTTTTTTTATTATCATTATATTAGAAAACTAGTTGTCAAATTTTTTTTTTTAAGTAGTTCCACTGGCAAGTAATGCAAGATGCCTAGAATCCTTTTCTCTGTATCTAGGAAAAATATCTTTAGGGATCCAATATAATATTTTTCTGATTACTATTCTTGCATTAAAGTGAACGAGATGCACCGAACTGAAGTGCTGCTTATTATATATGATACTCATTTACACTTCATAAATTACAATATAAAGAAGACAAATAGACAAACCCAATGACATGAAAATATGAGTGTTTAACTGCTTAAGGCAGAGGTTCATGCATCATGAATTTTTGAATATACAGCTCTCATATAAATAATATTGGTCACTTTAGAATGGCACATGGAGAGCAGAAGAACCCACATGCAGCCCATGTGAATATGTAAAGGGTCCACGCTCCATTTCCCTCACTATGAATGAAGAATAAAATTTCTGAAGGATTGAATTGCGCGATTAAACAAAGTCCCAGTCCCACACACAACCCTTTAGGGTGAGTTTTGTACAAGGGTATCAAAAAGATTACTGATAAACTTTCTTTAGTAAACGTCAATTACCATGTTTGGCAGAAGTAACAAAAACCAGTTTCCGGATATCCATAGTTTATCGGTAATTTGATTTACAAAAAAAAGTCAGTATTCAAATTACCAAAAAATAATATGATAATTCATAATTCAAGTAAAAGGAAAGCACAACAATAATTTTTGAGACAAAATACTCCAACACACATCAAAACCTAGACTCAATCTATCAATTACAAAGTAAATATAGTTTGAAGTTATTTTTGTAAAATAACCTCATATTCCAAGTCATACGTCGTTTTAAACCAAACATGGAATCAGTAATCTTTATCCAATATTCACGGTAATATTTTGGCGAATCAAATACATTTTTTGTAACATTCCGAAGAAACTCAATTTCTAGTGTATTTTCAGTAATCGTGATTCTCGGATATCAAAAAATTTCTCTTGTACCAAATACACTGAGTAACAAACCTATCCCTATGCGAATTGGCATATTTTGGAAAGCAAAGTAATGTTGATATTGAACCTATGAGCACAATAAAAAATGGGAAACAAAATATTATACTATCTGAGAACCAAAATAAAAGAAGTGGACCCCCCAAAAAAAGGGAAAGATTAAGATACCAAAACATATGTAATTTAATTAGCCAGAGCATTTATAACAAAGTATTCATAACCCATTTGACACACTATTTTTAATCAACTAACCTTAAAGGGGAAAACAAACCTATATATAGTAAAACAAGGTAAAGAGAAAAAGAGAAAAGTGCAAAACACAGCCAGCACACATCAAATGAAGGGGGAGTATTACTACTATCCCCCATGTATGGTACAAAATATTGAGGGAACTATGAGAAAGAGTAGTTTCAGACTATGTTGAGGTGAGTGAACGAGCTATACTCAGTGATGATGGACACCAGGGGGTGGTGCTGCCACCATGGCTGGTGGAGTTGGTGGCTTGCATTGGTAGCACTTAGCAAAGAGCCCAAATGTGTCAATTTGCCTAATGAAGTTGGTCATGCTGGCCCATCCACCAAACCCAAAACCAACCACCAAAACCCAGACCACAATGAATGCATTGAAGACATACATTGCAGTCCAACTTGGCATGAAGAAAGGGGGCTTCTCTGCAGCATTCTGCAAAATAAAGAAAACATAAATCACTGAGGATTGAAGATTGCCACTATTATACACCACTATTGCATTACTAAGAAAATTCCCATTAAAATAGGAGCAATAATGATGTAAATAGAATATAGCATTAGTAATAAGAATTAAACAATATAGTAAACAGCAGCAGCAGCATCAGGTTCATTATATCAAGGGGTTTTTGTTCCAAATTTCCACTGTTGTCCTAGTTTGAATTATTGGAGAAAGATATCAATCAACTCATCCTGCTCAACAGAGGCATAAAAATTAAAGGAAAATGACATCCCACCAGTCTCTATTTTTCACCTAAAGTTTCCAAATTCAAGCCTTAAATGTTTTTGTACATTTTCTGCTCTCTGTCTTTCTCTCTTTCCATATGTTTTTCTCTCTCTTAGACTTTGGGTGCAGTGGCCACTTTAATTTAATAGGGGGATATGGGAAGAACTGAAGAAGTCCCCATCAAAACGTGGGTGTCCAAGGATTGCCGAACGACATGCATACTCTCCTATTAAATATAAGTGGGGTCTATCTCTCTCTTCACAATACATGCAATAAATAGGTGGCATCTTATTTAAATTTGTAAAATATTTATTAATAGAGAATAAACATAAAACGTTATCATGTGAAATTGTAACAAGATCCATTTACTAATGCCATGACTCGGAAGAAAATTCAACTTGGGTAAAATAACGTGTAAAAAACTTAATGATTACTTAAAGCAGATATCATATATTACAAACTTCCAACAGATTATTAAGCAGATCATTGGGAAACACCTTGATCATGCTGTAACCTTTTTTGAATGATCTAAATAAGTCTACCTCAGTGTTTGTAAAGACTTCATAAAGAGAAAAAGCCTACGCAAGTATCATTAACACATTTAATTCAGAACATGAAACTACAAAATACAACATGAACTAAAACTTATCCTAATAGGTACAGTGAGTTACAAATGTCAAAAGGATGTTATAAAGCTGAGGTAAAAAATATCAATAGGGAAATATCGTTGATTTAAAAATCAAATATTTTTTTCTAAAATAATGCAATGAAAAGCACATTGAGAATGAGCAGGACTAATTCGCGCATCATCCCATATGCGACTTGTAACGCACAAAACGTATTAGAGGCACGTTGACTTTTAAAGGAGTTACATATCACCTCATACATAATTTATACGTGCACATTTCCTATATATATTTTACCGTATTATTTTAATAAAATATTTGACTTTTCAATAAAAGGAAATATGTTTCTTTTTTGCATTAGATGGGTCAAAAAGCCCATAAAACACTAGAAAAACTTGAATGATTTACCTGTCTTGCAGAGGCTGTTCTGTAAGTGAGCATATGGACTGCAGAGGGGATGATGTAGACAGTGAAGCTAACAAGAAGAGCTCCAACAGCAGAGTTAATGGGTCCAAAGAAAGGGAAGATTATAGCTAAAAACCATATAGGTATCACCACTGGCAACCTTGCTAGTGCCCTCAAACAAATGCTTCTTGTGTCATGCATCCCAATAGCCTTCTCCCACACAAAGTACAATGGAGTACATGCAAACCCAAATGTTATGAACTGCACCCATTTATTAGGGGGGAAATGGTCAGCAATTGTATAAAAAAAACCTTCTATTTCTCAATTGTAAACATTCTTTTGCACCAGCTGTTTTTTTTTTTTTGATACATACAGTAGCTCTGTGTTTTACCACTTTTGACTAGTAACCTTTTGCCGTACGTAAGTTATTTTGGTGGCGTAAAAATTGGGGTTTGCATTTATCATGTCACATGACACAAAATTTTTCTACACACACAACATTTTGTGAGACCCACACGTTTTGAAACAAAAAATAAAAATAAAAACTAAGGCACGCAAAATGAATCTCTGTAATATTACACAATCAGTTTTCCTACAACATAACTCTTATAAAACCCATAAAAATTATGTGATTTATATAAAAATATTAAAATAATTGTAAATACATTTATAAACAAAAATACATCAAAAAATTGTTTTAAAATTTACTGTGTATCTAACATCAGCGAAAGTTAGGGAAAGAAGCATGTTTTCAATATATATATGCATTAAAAACACTTTAGAATGAAAGGTTTGACTTCGGTGTACAAATTAAATCCATTCTCGAGAAACTATAAAAAAAAATTTAATTAAATGTTTGCAGATAAAATTACATTTTAGTTTAATTAAATGTTTGCAGATAAAATTACATTTTAGCTATTCTACTAGAAGAGAAAATAAAAGCAGTTGTCATTATTTTATTTTTTTAAGTTGTCTTAAGGAATTCTTTATTTCCACCAAAAAGTCTATCATCGCTATCTGTACTCTGACATGTTTACTAAAAATAAATAAAATTTATTATCATTTTTAAAGCAACATTTATTGCAATAGAGGTTTACATGACAAGTTATATACGTGTCTACGATGGTTCAAAAATACATTAATATTAATTTTCTAATATATAACTTTTAGCACAAAATAAAATAGTACAAGTGGAATTACTTATAGTTTCATTATTTCTACATTACTATAAATAAAAATAGCAAAAACAAAACTTATGACTTAAACTCTTGAAATGGTTACATTTTGTACCAAAATACAAAAATTTAAAAAGCTTAATTACCTGGTGAATGAGCATAAGGATTACAGCAGCATCACGGAATCCATTTTTTGGGAGGAGAGAGAATGCGTTAGAATGGTTGAGAAGGTCATCACCAAAAGCCCAGTAAACAGCAGAAGCTGAAGGAATTGTTAGTGTGAAAACGTACAAAGTGGCCAGCAAGTATATGTACTTGAACTTCTGTGGCTTCCACATGGCGTGCATAATCTCTCTGCAACATTTGTCACCATTATTCACTTTACACTCTAAAGATCAAAGAATAATCATAATAATGGAGACATTGGAATTTCTAAAAACGGGTAAAGATAAGAAAAGGTTCTGTTGCTCTCTTGGATCCATTGCCATTTTGTTTTACTAGGCTGCAATGCAGACAAAAATAACTAGTACAATGGGTGCCAACCATCAAATAAACTGCATTTTTTTTTGGGGGGTTAAAAAACTGTTAAATTTTTACTTCCCCAGAGTTCAAATGTTAAAGATAAATTAGAAAAAAACAAAAGGACAAAAACAAACAAGAAATAAAATTTCATTCAACTTGGAGTAGACATTATTTAATTATATCTTAGTATGATGATGTTGTCACATTAGTTAAATAAGACATCATTGTCTTTTATTGACCATTCAGTAAAGGTGATTAATAAAAAACAAAATTTATGATTAAAGACAATGATGACACATGTAGCTACGAACCTATAATGTTCTTGGAGCCTAATTGCACATGTAGCTAACATTACACACATTATATTAAGGGTTATATACTTCTTCTGTCACTGCATATGGAAAAAAGTGCAACAACACTAATTTTTATCAGGATACGCGTCCAGATCCTGATGTGTTTTTTTTTTGTTAGGTCAGGATACGACCCCGTATCCTAGTGTTAATAATTTGCTACAACTTTTCTCATCAGCAGCGAATGAAAAAGCGACGAACCCTTATATTAAATGTTATTATCCAGTAATGTCTCTTCCTTTCTAATAATTTCTATTCCTAGAGACAAGTAGAGGGAGGAGAGAATGCTTTCGAAGAAACAAAAGTTATTTGCATGATTTTGTCTTAGGGTCTCGAAAACCGAGATGACCGGCAAAAGCTGCTAAGAGAAGCTGTGCATAAGCGAGTAAAAGAGAAGAACTAATGATGCTGAGGAAAAGGCTAACTCACACAGTAACTGCATGTCCTCCAAACGTGTACAGAATATTAGTTGCTCCGGTGAAGTACAGCACTAGCTTTGTTGGACCCGTATGTGTCACATTTTCTACCTGCAAGATTATTTACAAAAAGAATATCTTATCTTTAGTTCGCATATAATAATGGTATCATGGATTAGAAAAATTTAGACCCTAGATTACTGATTTACCTGGCCATTAACAAGAGCTGCTATAGCCATGTACCAAGCAGTGTAAGTGGTCATTCCAAGTCCCAGAAATGACCAGATACGGTAATTGTGAAATGATGGTATGAACACAGTAGTAGCACAACAAGCTCCGAAAATATAGGTCCAAGTCCTTTTGTCCAATTTGTCATTTATGTAGTAGATGTTACTGTTTGCATTAATAAACCAAAAAAAAAAATATATATTATTTTTTAATCAGATGAAAACCCATATCAGATTATCTCAAATCTAATACAAAAATCAACAAAAGGTCTTACCTTGCACATGCTATCAACTGTATCACAGATCCAAAGAGGAGGAAAGTACAGTTGAAGGCTAGCCCCACTGCTTTCCAATAAGGACCCAACAACCCATCAAGCACTTCGAACCACTGAAATCCATTGCAGTGAGTCTCAATTTAGTTAATGTGATTTGGCACATACTATAACTAAGTAAGGTCTTCTTAGAAAGAGATTTGAAACAAGTGGTGGTAGATTTTACCTGAATGACATGATTCTTAAAACTGACATTTTCCTTTTCCTTTCTTGTGCGGTACTCTACATAGAGGACACTGATTAGATACGCTGTCCAGCTTCCAAGGAAACCATAGAATACCTGAAGCAAGATCCCTGATAGCATGCCCAGTTGAGAGAAAGAATAGGGCAGTGTCAATAGTACTTGGGCTACCTGAAAAAATCAATGAATCGGATATAGTTAATTATGAGTTAAAATGGGGAACCAAAAAACAAAATGTGATTTTTCATTGAGATTTTGGTAATGGGTATGAAGTGATTTTACTTGATTTGAAGCACAACTGAACCATGCATCCCATACAGAACCACCGTGCCAGAGGAAGCTCTTGACACTGAACACTGAATGGTCTTGCTCCTCTTCTTCTTCTCTGCCATTCCCTTCTTGCTCTGTCTCGTTGAAGTTTGTGACTATTGCTTCCTCTGCCTGCTTCGGAGACAACATTGTGTTTTGTTATCCAAGATAGACAGTCTTAACCCTGATGAATCTGAAACACATAAAAGGACATTAAATGAGACAAAAACCATGATCAAACACTATCCCGAGAAAACGAAAGCCAAGAAACAAAACACCACCACAGATCCAGATAACTGAAAATTCCTTGCAAGCTTTTTACAAAAAATATGAATAAACCACCACCAAATCAAATAGAAAAAGGGATGTGAGGGAAGAGAGAAAAGGAAAATAAAAAGTGGGCATGGAGTGTTTACATGTTTTACACACCAAAGGAGCAGAAAATCCAATGCAAATCACTTTCCACTAACCTTGGTGTTAATGTCTCTTTCTCCGGAAGGCTGAAAATTGAACTCACCCCAGAAGAAGATCTATCTTCCAAAAATAAAAAATGCTTCTGTTACTGAGAGCTACTTAATACCGTGCCAGAGATGGGTTAATGCCTATGAATTCTTTATTCAAAGAATTGGCATATGAAGCTTTAAATGCAATGAGATTTGGAGGTTTAGAGCCTGCACTTGTAATTACCCTGTGATGCTTGAAAACTCGACAAAATAATAAAAGCCATTGCTTTAATGCGCGCCACCAAATGTCACAGAAAAAACGCAGAACCAAACCGCAAAGGCGGCGTGAAGCCGCAAAAGCAGGGAAAAAAGAAGAAAGAAAAAGCTGAGTTTTTCAAAGTTGTCTTTGATTTTCTGGTTCAGACTTCAGAAACTGATGTATATAAATAAAAGACCCTTATTGTCACTGTTCAACCCGATTATATGTATATATAAAATGAATGTGGACGATTTTGTAATAGTAAATATTAGACAAAAGCAAAGAAAAGCAGAGAGATCGAAACAACAAAGCCTAGCCTAACAGGTACTATACTATATGTGATTGGTGATTGAAGTGTTTGTGGTGTATGTTTGTGCTGCTTTTCTTGGCTTCTGATTTGAAGCTTCTATTCTCCCCCAATGGAGAGAGAGAGCTGAGAGTGAGTTAGAGAGATGAAAACTCAATTATAATTCTATTCTTGTGACTTTGTTCATATTAGTAAGAAGTGAACTAAACGAAAAAGACACTCTTTTTATAGGCACCAAAAAGGTGCTTCGGGTTCCAGTAATGTTTGTCAGAGGTTACATTTTTTTTGGAAAGATTTCAAAAAATTTTCTATAACTCTTCTTATAATCATTCATTTCTTCTCCAAAATTTTGAATTATTTATTTTGTTGACTTAAAGTTTTTTTATCATTTACTCCTTAAGTGAGAGGGATAAGTGATAAAAAATTTAAGTCAATGGGATAAGTGATAAAAAAAATTAAATAAGAGTGTGAATAATTTTAAAAAATTATGAGAGGGATAAGTGATAATTAAAAAAACTCGTAAAGAGATTTTTGAAATTTTCCTTTTTTTTATGTTATAGAATCACGATTTTTAAAAATATGGTGAAAAAATTAATTTTTTGAGAATGTTATTAAAAAATTATTTGATAGGTGAAAATATTATTGAAATTTTATTTCAAAAATACTGTAAAATTTTTTTCAACATCTGAAATTTCAAGAATACCACTCATTTAGTGATATTTTTGGATGACATTTTGAAATAAAATTGTACATAAAAATCTCCTGAATTTTTTTTGAGAAACCTTGTATCAAACGTGGATAATTAAGATTACCATTGTCACTTTTCCGAAAATCTCAAAAAATTCATCGTACCAAACACTCATTTACATAAATGCAGTTGGAAAACAACATCAGGTGTAGAGTTTTTATTTTCTTATATTAACCTCAGTGGTATAGTTAATAATCTTAACATTCAAACAAACCTCTGTTTCCTTTATACATCAGAATTATCAAATAAGAGTTCAAAAATTAGACAAAAAATAAATAAGAGTTGAAATCCCCTGCGGTATTTGTAAGTTTATATTGAACATCATGTTATGTTCATTTGTAGTAATATTTAAGTGGGTTTTGAGTTCAAATTAAGTCATCCTTTAATAGATCAAAACAATAGCATTAATTGATACCGAATGATTAATTTAATTTCTCTTGTAAATGGAAAATTAACATGTTGTCGAATATATAGTTAATGGAATTTTGTGTCACTGTGTGCATGAACTCTGCCACTTATCTTCCAATTTTATGCGCGTCGTGCTTGTTTTGAAATTCCAATTCATGACATGTACGTAGAAGCTTTTAACCGATTGAGAGCCAAGCAAGCTAACAACACTATTAACATGGTTGAACAAAGTATGGACAAAATAATATCATTCATGTAAATTTAAAAATAAATTATCCAAATTATATAGGTCTAAAACTATCCCCAAATTAATGCAATCAGTTATCTATAAAGAGGTCTGCATCCCGTTGCACTCTGATAAATTGCTAGGCGAGTTGTCCAATGCACATACCACATGCATAATTAGTTGTGGACATCCTCCGTGAACAACTTATGAGATCGTGCCATGTTACGCTCACGGCAAATACACCAGTCGCACAAGTAATAAAGAAGTGAGTACTTGATACTTCTCAGTAGTTAGTATTATATTTGGGAGGGGTCTAAAACCTTAATCCCGGGACCTGCTCCGAATCGGACTAGTCACGAAGTGATAAACCGATTGAAATATCTCCAAAAAAATAAAGAAGTGAGTAGAGTATCATTTTCACGAGTATTACTGTCTCAACCAACTAGTTTACTATTTTTACTTAAGTTGGACAGTTCAAATGAGAGATTTGATTTAAAATTAATTAATAATTAACATAAAAAAAAGATCAAAATGCAAAATCAAAGATTCAAGCAATTAAGAAAAGAGTAGTTAGGGATTTAATTTCCCTCAATCTCTTCTTTATGTTCTAAATTAAAACCTCAATTAATTGTCCTTTTTATATTGACAATCAATTCATCTAATTTAGTTAAAACTCAATCTATTGATATTCTAACCTTTTACTCCCTTAAGAGAATCCTAATTTCTTGGTGTTTCTCAAAAGGATTTAAGCATTAAAATCAAGAATCATAAAAATTGTATAAGGATTGCATAATTCATATGTCTATCTCTAGATACACACAAATCAATGATGAATTAACCCCCAAGGGTAGCTAAGTTGGCAGCTGAGCTCCCAAGGGATTGCTTGGTGCAGGGATCAAACCCTGCCTCAAGCAGTTTCTTGGAAAATCTTTGGGGGCCAGAGGATAAGCCAAAAAATCTTCGGTTGGGGGATTAGTCTCGTCCTTTCTCCGGTTGCGAAGCTTAGTGCACTCACTGTTACAATGAGGGGCTAGCCCAAACGGGCCGTACCCCGAGGGCATGGTGCCCGGAGAAGGTTGAATGGAGATACCTCCTGGCAATATACCGAAAAAAAAAATCAATAATGAATTTATCAACCCTGATTCATATACCAACATGCCTATTGTCCTACACGAATCTTAGATTATTCTATAAGAAGATTCACTCATAGAAGCATAAAGAACATGCAAATTCATTCAATATAAAAAGGAAAAATTGCATTAAAGATTAATTCAGAAACATAAAGATTCAATTCGGTTCTATCTAATCCTAACTACAAAGAAAATTAGCTACTCATGGCAAAAACAAAGACAAAAGAAATCATAAAGACTTCCCTAAACTCCTTCGCAATGAGAGCGTGGTGAATCTCTACAATCCCCTCTTGTTCTCCCTTGAAAACTATGCTCCCTGTGTCAAGTCCTCGTCAAGCCTCACACAGAATAACTTAAATAGGCATATGAATCTTTGTTTCAAGTGAAAATCATGTAATGAGCCTTAATTTTGACAAACGCGATATACTCGTTCAATTGATGTGATCTTGGTCTCGTTGAAAATGTAAAAGAGAGATCTACAATTTATATGAGAACAGAAGATCCACATTTATCATCTTGGATATGAAAAATTGGCCAGAAGATTGCTTCAAGGAGATTTTCATTAAATGGTTGCTCCTCATTTATCGCTTGAAGTCCTTCTAGCTTAACCATTGCTCCAACGCTCCAATTCAACTCAATTATCCTACAAAACAAGCAAGAATCATTCGCATGAGTCAATAATTCAAACTCCATGCTTTTAGCTAATAACCCTAAGTTTTTGTACTTTTAACTAAATATGAAAGTGATTTTAGCCCTTAAAACATGATAAACTATGGATTTATCATGCCACATAACACAATTTTGGTTAGGCATCATAATTGGTTTTCAAATTTAAAAACATAAAATTTATCATTATCAATCATTGTAACACCTTGTGTGCACCCGGTGCATGTGCTTATCATGGTACTCAAGCATAAAATCAACGTAAATGAACATTAACGGAAGTCATTACAATTAATTACTTGGAACGCGAGGAATTAAGGTTAAATTGATCTAGGCATCATTATCTTGCTTCCTCAACTCATCTAAATGGTTAATAATGGATTCATGGGTGAAAATAAGGGGATTAGGGATTGGTCACACACACTTCAACGTGTTGAACAACATGTTATTGTTGAGATTAGGTGCCGGTACGTTTAAGCGCGCTAGGTAGTGCTCTATGGCACCCTGTGTTGGCGCTTTAGCGTGTTGTAACAATGGATTACGATTCCAGGGCACTACACAATGCCCTCCTGCGGCGCTTTAGCATGCACATCAACGCATTGTAATAGTGGCAACTATCTTGTTACAAAAAGCATTTCATCTACAACCAAAACTCAAGTATCAAACATCAAACATGTTCTTAGACTTAACAAATGTACCAAAGCATTTTAATCTACCATGATTAACTACATAATGTTCAACATCCGTAAAACCATATCAAAGCATAAAACATCAAGTATATTCCTTATAATTAATTACAAAACTTGCAATAAACTAAATATTCTTCTTCGAGCCACTCTCAATATCCATGAAGCTAAGTCCCCTGGATGTGGCTAGCTCATTTGCCATGTGGACCTACAATATGTCCCTAGAGGGATAAGATACGATCTCAATAATTCCAAGAACTTTTGAGGACTTTTCCTCACCTTGGTTCACTTTCCTACATAAAAGGTTAGACACTTCATGAATTAACAACTATCATTCATATATACATACATAAATAATAACATCTCATCATAACCACAAACATCAAAATAACAACCATCACTGCTTACTGGTATCTCAAACCTCTCAGATTGCTCCTTTAGCTCGACTCTTAGGATCTCAGGACTTCCAAGAGTTGTCGCTCTTAGTCTTAATTCTCCAAAGGAAGCCCCGCACTTTGGCTAAGTTCTTTTAGCAATCACAAGCACAAATAATTTAATATAGATAATGATTGCTCATTACAATTCATAGCATGAATCATTGTCTTTCTCTATTGTGACATATCATGTTTCTATCTTTACAGTATAATGCATTAATCAATCTCATTCACATCATAAATACATAAACAATGAAGTTATTTCATAAATGTCACAATACTTTAAATGCAAGTATAATCCATGATTCTTCTGAATCATGGTGAAACCCAATTAGGGCTAAGCCTCCAAAAATCTAAGGAATTACATTGTTTACGATTTCCTCAAAGTCAAGGTTCCAAACAAAAGTTATCAAACTAGCTACCAAGGGAGTATCACCAATCACCTATGGTAATTAAAAATAACATTCAATAAGGCATGAATTTCATAATTACACATCATTATCTAAGGTATTCCAAGAAGCTAGTGTTAGGGCACTTACCCATTTTCTAAAATCTCAATGAATGAGGGTTCAATTCACTATGAACTTCTTCCTCTTAGAGTTTCACCTTCTCC